CCCCAAAACCCCCAAAACCCCAAAACCCCAAAACCCCATATTCAGATTAAGTCCTTGAATAATTATAAATTTATCAATAAGAGCTTGCCGCAAATGGATGATGTACAGTTTTTATTCCAGGAAGTGAGAGAGAGTTATAAGGTGTTATCTAATCCTTATTCAAGTATTAGTTCTCAAGGTAAGTTTTAGAGTGGTTTATTAGAGTTAGATTTGGGTAATACAAGACTAGTACTGTTCCAAAGATTTAAAAAGAGAAAAAATCGTACTAAAAACAGCAAAATGAATCAAGGAATCACCAAGGAAAACACAATAAGACCTCTTTCCATAAGCAAACTGCTCCCTGAATCTGATTATAAAACAGGAAACTACACAGGAAACGCAAGTCACAAACCCGGAGACAGTAGAGAAAAATCCCCTCGCCAAAAACGGCTCGCACTACAAGGAGGTAACTTCCAACCCCTACACACATCCCCTTCTTCCTTTCCACTTCCTCCATCCAGCCCATTCTTCCTCCTCCCCTGAATCCACTCGCATTAAGCCCCTTCCACACCCTAAATCTCCACCCATAGACCCTCAGAGATCTTCATTTATCAGAGGAAACACTATACCTACAAAAGAATTCCTAAACCATCCATTAAAGGTATGAATCTGTTCACTCAAAAGTTACAAAAACTGCTCTTAAAGCTCTTTAAAGTTTGTTTTAACGATTTTCCACTTATTTGGTCCTATCGACCAAGTCTTGGGGTTGGTAGAGCAAAGGAGGCTTAGTAGTGAAGGATTAACAGGCTTAAACCCGTTGCTTCTTGACCTCTAACAATCCTTTAGCCCCCGCCAGACCAGAAAGAGGTATCCATCTCTGAAGTCTACTCAGACAGTGAGCTTGAACATATAGAAGAAGAGCCCCAAGCAGACTTTGACGATATTTCTGGTAAATATACACAAGGGGCCTCGAGGCTGAATAATTTTAGGAAGAAATTAGCAGAAGTTTGAGGCGATTTTGAACGTTTTTAGGCGAATTTTAGGGGTTTTGGGATAGTAGTTGGGGCTGGGTGAAGGTAGAATAGTAAATTTTTTGGAAGTTTTAGTGACTTTGTAGGTGAATTAGGGGATTTTCGGTTTTGTTGCTGAATTAGGATTAAGATAGATTAATAAAGAACTATTGTTTGTTTAAAAATTATATATAGGATTGGCTGAATATTTAAGAGGATTAGGACACTATCTTGATTAAAATTTGTATAAAACTTTTTTACATATAATAAAGTCTTTGTAAAAGTCTAGGTCTTCTAAAGCGTTTGAACTGAAGCATGCTTAAATATTATTCAGCTATTTTCTATAAGTAGATATTACGAAATACTCAAACCCATCAGGATTTAGACATAGATAGAGCTTAAAATTTAAGAAATATTTACTAGCCCCTTTCAATCCTTCAGAAACCTTACCAGATTTTATCTTCTTAGTTGACTGAGCCACCCAGATGACCCTGAGGAAACATTATTTTATAGAAAAATATAAATTCAGAAAACGAAGCCAAACTAATTTAAGATTTGAGTTTTCTCCCAGAATCGATGCTATAAAAGATAATTTCACGATCCAAGCTTCTCCGATTCCAAAACCCCCCGATTTTAAAACCCCAAAGAAGCTAAAAGAGCCTAACCCTACTGAAAAGCCAGAAACATTGAATCCAATGCTCCAAATTACCTCCAATCCACCCCATAAAAATACTACAAAACCTATAACAAACACTCAACTAGTGATGTAATTCTAAATTTCACAATTCTAGACCCCAAATCCAGCATAAGACCATTCAAAAACCCATGAAAATCTCATCGTCAATTTCCTCGATCCACTCAAAAATCAAGAACAAGGCTAGTTCTCCTCAAAAAGTAACAAAAGCTGTGCAGAAGAAAGATATAATCTAAGAAACCCCATAAAATAGCTGTTGAGCATACTAGAAATGCTTGTAACCAAATCACAACGAAAGCAGAGCGTTTCCAGAGTTTGAACCTTAATCCTTCAGAACTGGCTGTGATGAAGGCCAGGATCCTTTCTCCCGCTACAAGGACTAAAATGGTCCTGGGATCCACTCCTAATTTGGATAAGAAAATTCAGACCAAAACCAGCCTGAATATGAGTAAGACTAGTAAAAAGATGAAAATAATGAAGACCATGGTTAAATTAGACACTCAGTATTATGCAAAGTAAGACTTTTATGGAGAAGTTTTAGCTTGATCACCTCAGCAGACACATTAGGAAAATGAGACGAACAACAAGAGCAGAGTAGTCAAAAGAAAAAGCGTCCGAAAAAGAAGTCTATTTACCCTGCCCAGAACTTTAAAGTCAAGCAAGATTCAACAGAGACCAATACGAGGCCAAAGAATTCAGCGAGAAAGACTCAGTCTCCTTTACAGTCAAAGATCGACACACTTCGGTCTAGAAGCAGAAAGCAGAAAGAAATCTTCTCAAAATTTAACTTAAAAGCAAATATTTGCGGAGTCAACTTAAAATAATCTGGGTAGTGACATCGAAATGGTTCAGGATATTCTGGTAGGAATTATGGCGTGTGAAGCAGATCCTTACTTACAACCACTTATGACAAACACGAGAGCAGTAAAGCCTAGTCCCAAAAATGTTTGTAAAACTTATAAGCTCAGTAATAAAAAGCAGGGTAAAGGTACCAAACGAGAGAGAAATTGATGGAAATCAACTGAAAGGACAATGACCTTCAAGAACCGATCTACAAGAGCGACAAGCAATCTTAACTTTAAATCAAGTAATCCTAAGTTATATACTCTAAATACTCATCGAACGACAAGGAGTAAGTATTGAGAGACTTTCAAGAGCTCTAAGGAGTAACCATTGCTGTACATAAATAATTCAAAAATGAATAACTTAATAGGGGTTTTGGGGTTTTGGGGTTTTGGGGTTTTGGGG